TGTTTCAGCTATTTAAATAGTTCAGTTTTGTATGTAATGGCAAAGTGATTATATTTTGTTTCGTTTTTTTATTAAATTAATTTAGAAAAATGTTTGGAGCATTTTTTTTTTGTTCGTTACAAATTTTTGTTTTTTTAAAGTAACGACCAAGCGGCCAGCGGCAGACAGTAAGCTGATCGTAGCCAATGTTTGATCAATTTAGCCTTCTCAAATCATCACGACTTGCCTAAAATAAAATCTATAGATATAAAACAGTTCAAGAATATAACAATGTTTAAACATTAAATCTAGATAAATGTGCGCTGTATCCAATAGTTTGTGCGGAGAGTGCAAGCTAAAGCGCGCTTTGCAGGACATGGAGGCGCCAACACGATCAATTGCATTTTTTTTCAGTGGATAGCCTACGCCATTATTTTTGCTCATAAAGGTAAGAGTAATACATCATTCATAACTGTAAAGGAGTTTTATTTGTGTGCACTCACAATATCAACAAAACGTTGTGCTTTTATAAACTAAAGAATATAAATATGATGCGCTTTATGCCATCTCGTCTTGAACAGGAGCGCTTCACAAAAATGATCCGAAACTCAGCGAATAGATGCCTCACAGGCATGATAAATATATCTATAGAAATCTTTAAATTACTACTTAACGAAATAAAACAAAAAGCAAAAACTCTTTCATTATGATCATAATCCGTAAAGATGCACTTCTCTCTAAAGGCGCGTCTAATGAGGAGATGGCGAGTCAGGATCGACAACTTCATCCTTGCGACACCGACTCAGAAAACACTAGTTTATTAGTAAATAATTCAAATATCTCCTTACTATTTCTCCCGGACACATTCATGATAATTATTTTCTGGGGCTTTGCGGCAAGCTTTAGCCTTGTGTGCATTTGAACGCAGATCTCTTCAGCTGCGCTGACTGCACGCAGCATTGGCTGCTGCTGGACACTAAACACCGTCGAGTCGCTCTTGACAGTCGCGGCAGCACGGTCTCGTGTTGTTTCCACCAGCACAGCAATTTTTTTTCATCACTAATTGATGGATATCTAAAATATAAAAATAAGGTAAAAGTAACCCTCCCAACCCTGTACACAATTTGTATGACCCAAATGTAAACTATCAAGAATTGGTCTCTATATATTTAGTTCACTTGTAGACAGCATGCCGTTTGTAACAAGCTGAAGTAATCTCTTATCTATCCTTCATTCACCTACACAGACGGACTTTGAGAAAGACGTGGATTTGGCGTGTCAAACAGGTAAGTTCTTCCGGGACCTCCATTTTGCCTTTCACTACTGCTGTCCTAGCTCTTTGCTTTCTCATTCTTGCACTTTCCTTGCCATTTTTCCACTTATTTGCCCTGGTTCTAATGCAGTTTGTTTAGTAAACTTGTTCATATAAAGTTAAACCTGCACATCATTGTCTCCCCCTCACTTGCAGAAAGAGGACACCCGTGTAAGTCTCACTCTAAAGTTAGAACATTCCTGTTTGTGTGTCATTTGTGTTAGACCATAGTATGTTGTTGTTTTGCATAAACTGACATACAAAATGTGCATGTTCACTCTTTTATTGTCATATCCTTATTCTTTGCCATACTAGGGCCTTAATTTTAACTTAGAATATTCAGTTCCAAGAACTGTAATTGGCTGGTTTAGTTTTAACTAGGGCTGTCAGTCGATTAAAATGTTTAATCTAATTAAAGGGTTACTCCACCCCAAAATGAAAATTTTGTCATTAATCACTTACCCCCATGTCGTTCCAAACCTGTAAAAGCTTCGTTCATCTTCGGAACACAATTTAAGATATTTTGGATGAAAACTGGGAGGCTTGTGACTGTCCCATTGACTGCATAGTAAATTGCACTGTCAAGGTCCAGAAAAGTATGAAAGACATACTTTATATATCTTTACACTTTACATATCTTTACATATCGACTTTATTCAACTTTTTCTTGTCCTCCGTGACACTTCCTGCAAGCGCGTTCATGAGTTCACTAGCAGAGCGATGCAAGCATGCCTCAGATGACGCACAACGTAAATTCTATACGGGTTCTGTCTGTACGCTGGCCTCGATGTCAGCAGGTCACGGCGTTTACGTCGATATTTTGTTTTCTTTGCGCACAAAAAAGTATTCTCGTAGCTTCGTAAAATTACGGTTGAACCACTGATGGCAGATGGACTATTTTGACAATGTCTTTCATACTTTTCTGGACCTTGACAGTGCAATTTACTATGCAGTCAATGGGACAGTCACAAGCCTCCCAGTTTTCATCCAGAATATCTTAAATTGTGTTCCGAAGACGAACGAAGCTTTTACGGGTTTGGAACGACATGGGGGTAAGTGAAAAATGACAAAATGTTCATTTTGGGGTGGAGTAACCCTTTAATTACATGATGTGTTGATTAATTAATCGAATTAATCACAAATTAAATTTGGCTGTGAAAATACCCACAAAAGATAATTTAAAGTTATTATTGTGTTAAATGAGAAAGTATCAAGTAGACATTACAAAGAGTAGCTTTAAGAAAGAAATATTTTTATTTGATTCAACATAAAATGTATTACACATAAATGTTTAGCCTACAGTGGCCTAACATAAACAATGGACCATAAAAGAAGATACTTTGAGAAACATATCTGTATTTTTTATTCATGCAATGAAACAGCTTTGTTACGAGCAGTCTTCAAAATACCTTCTTTTATGTTGTGCAAAAGAAAGTCATACAGGTTTGAAATGACATGAGGGTAAGTAAATGAGGACACTATTTAAATTTTGGGGTGAACTATCCCTTTAAGGTCTTTTTTTAAATGAAATTATACTCTAAATAAGAAACTAAAACTGCCAGCAGGTGGCGTTAAATGTCTTTATGAGTCATTTATTCATTCTCTCTATCAATGGGCCTTTGAATCATTGGTTCACCCAATTCGTTCAAAACGCGGATTCATTCAGAAACTAAACAACGCTGTGCTGCTCGGAGACGCACAACAATATATGGCTTTATAGGTAATATTTTCGTTGGCAAAATTGAGCAAAAACAGACAATATTGTGTTTAAAATATAACACAATATTAAATTCTTATTTAATGAACTGTTGTATAAAATCACATTTAAACTCCTGATATTTGGGACAAAAACAGCACTCATGTGATATTGCTCTCGCTGCTCATGTTATATCGCTTATCAAATGATATAAATATGAGACAAAAACTCATACAGGGGTATTTTTGCCCCAATAGCTTGTATTTTAGGCCATAACTGCATTGATGGTGTTGTTGCCCTGCATCATGTTTGTCAACAGTCAGGTCTGGGGGCGTTAACTGCATCAAAATATTTTAATTGCATTATTTTTTCATAACTAACTAATTAATTAACACGTTAAACACCCCTAGTTTTAACACTAAATCAGCTTGATAGTGTTTCTAGTTTCACCTCATAAAGAAAAAGTCTGTGGTGCAGCGTTGGCATTTCAGGTTTATTGAAGTCCAGACTTATCTTGGTCTGTAACCTCAACATTATAGGAGTAGAAACAAATATGTTGATCAGTTTTGTGGAATAGAAACTACCATTGCTGTAATATCGACCTTATAAAATTAAAAATAAGACAAAATCAAGAAAAGTTATGTTTTATTTTGTTTTATAAGTACATTCTTTTAGATAAATGCAGTTGCTCCTTATTCATATTTTTCCTTTTACCTTTTGGAGTTATGTTGGCTGTTAAATGTGACCTTATTAATAATGTATGAAATGGTTAGGCCATTATGGCTGATGTTTTTTTCTCTTAGAGGAGCTGATTTGTGCATGGCTTTCCTTCCTAACCCTACCTAATTCAAGTGAACTCCTACTGTAACACCTCTGGGGCACCAACTTTTGCAACCGTCCAACTTATGCATGCCAAGACTCCTGGATACTAATTCCCCTGCCTGAAAATGTTTGTCCTTTCCTGCCCTTCACTAACAAACTCCATTTCCATGCACTGTAACTGAGCTCATTTTCTTTTGTCTTTTTTCCCATCATTCCCTCTACCGATCACATTCTCTCTGCACCCTCTCAAATCAATCTTGCTTACCCTGTTACCGCTTCAACCTCTCTCCAAAACATCTGGGCTCTATACCTTTGGGAACTGCTGTGTAACCATCTTCCATCCCACCCCTTTCCTTTTCTGTCATGCGTTGTTTCACCATCCAACTTTGTTATAATCGGTTTCTCTCTCTGCTCTTTGCCACTCCATCCATCTGTGAGGTCTTGTGCACTCGACCTCTGCTTCCTTCTCTTTCTTCCTCCCCACTTCTGTCTATCTGTTCTCTTTCTCTCTTCCTCTCTCCTTCCAACCTCAGTCATCTTTAAGGAGGTAAACACCTGTAACCCTGCTACCATAACTGGCACTCTATCCCGCATCTCTCTGGACGACGAGGATGACCCCAAGTTGGCGGCTCATCAGGAAGGCATTAATTTCAGCAGCCTGCCTGGGAACATCCCACCCCCTAACCTCCTGGTGCAGGTACCTCCTTTGGGTCCCCTGAATGAGCTAAGCGAGCAGCCACTAAAGAAAGAGGTTAATGTGGAGCAACAAGGTCAGCATCAACAATCTGGACCCATCTACCTGTGCACCGAGAGTGGGCTAGGTTGGGCCCGACCAAACCCTTCTTCCACCCAGGATTCAGCTGGTGGCGGAGGTGGGGAAGGGGACTACATGGTGTTGCCTCGTCGGACAGTCAGTCTCAAGCCCCCTCCTCCAGCCCAGGATGAGGGGAAGCCCCTGAACATTACAATGGATGACCCTCCCTTTCCTCCACCCCCTTCACCCTTGACTCTGCATCCAGCAGAGAGTGAGGCATACCCCGCAGACTTTACAGCTGTGGACCACATCAGCATGAACCTAAACCGCTCCTACGGCACGCTCAAACAGTTGCCGGCCCACACTGGGCACACGCACTCCCACACCAACACCCACACCCTACAGGTCAAGCAGAATCGTCCCTCTGTCCGGCAGATCCTCACCTCGGGAACAGTGGAGCGCACCAGAACCCTTCCCCGTAACCTGGGCAGCACCAACACCAGCCACTCGGCTGGATCTTTGGAAGTAAGTAGGGGTTAAAGAAGGGGTTCATCCTTTCACAATCTACAACCATCACTACCGAATGAGCCAGGGTATTTTGGAAACCACCTGCGGTTTGCAGTTTTGGCGTACAACATAGCAGCGCAATAGTGTTGTAATCTCTTAGCATTCTTGCCAAAAACAGGGAACTGGGGACCATATAGCATAAAGAATCATTATAGCAGGAAAATTTAAATTAGATCTGCATAAAACATCACCAATATGAAACCAAACATGAATACAGTGATTGCAAACACGACAATCCAAACACACAAACTGTACATTCCTACCTAGCAACAGACAAATTATCACTAGTTCCCTATCAATACTTCACTCGTACTGCGTCTGTTTAAGACACTTGGGGAAAACTCCTTTTTCTCCGATGACTGAAGCCTTTCAATAACGCAGTGTAACTGCACGGCCATTAGTTCGTGCAGTGAATAAAAAACGAACCAATGGCTCGGCAGCGGAGCGGAACTGCACGAGCCTATGGTGGTAAAGCCCGCCAGAATGGGTGGGGTCATCTGGCTATATAAGCGGCACATTGCTATAGGATCCTCAGATTATTCTCCTTCAGCGACGACTACTAGATCTTCGCTCTAGGAGACTACAAAGCCTTCGCCCGTGATCAAGCCTCGCAGCGGATGGAGAGACCCCTTCCTGCTCAGCCATTCTCTCCGATTCACGGTCTCCGGTTCCCTGCCGCTATCCGGCGATTTAAAAGAGCAAATTTCATAGCAAATTTTCGGCGTTGTTTCAAATGCCACGTCGTTACTGTCGCTCGTGCAGGGCCCCCCTGAACGCCGCTGACGGTCACGGCGAGTGTGTTTCATGCTTGGGCGCCACCCACGCTGAAGCAGCACTCATTGAGACGGAATGTCCTCATTGCGAGGATATGAGTCTCGCCTCTCTGCGCTCG